GTGGGCTGCAGGTGTGTGTTTGGACAGAGGGGAATTTCAGTCCCTTCAGATGACACCAGATAAGACCATTCTCCACCCTCTCAGAGCACAAAGCTTGACTCAGAAGCAGCTTGTGGTTTCCTTTCACTAAACCAGAAAAGTTGTTTTTCAGTCTAGGCAAAAACACCCAGAAACCAAATTCTTTTCAGACCAGTTGAACTCGGAAAAATTAGAAGTAAACATGAAAAGTTTTTGTGCAGAAGCTGTTGGTGAGGAAATAAAGGGCAGACAGGGTCCTGAGCACAGGAGAAGGTGTCAGGAGACACATTGGGGCAAAGACTCCATGCACTCATCTCCAAGGTCACAGCCAGGGCTCCTCTCCAGCTTGTTTTGACCACAACTGTTTTGTTTTGGTGCACTAAGAGGGTGGGAGATAGGGAGGTAGAGGACGTGAAGGAGGCCTCAATAAGGCTACCCAAATGCAGATCATGTAACACACAATGAAAGACAGCTTTTCGAATCCATTCTTCACACAGCCCACAGTCACACACATCTAACGGGCATTACTGAGGAAATCCTGGAGTGATTTTCCATTTTTCATAGGAGAACATTCAGGATCCAAACTTGATGACAAGTCCCAATATGAATTGAATCCTCTACCTCAAACTCCAGCCTCATTACCACACAATCTTACTTCCTGCCTCTGGGTTCTAGACATCCCAGCTTCCTTTGACTATCCAGGAGAATGTCATGCTGTCACTTGCCTTAGCATACACTGTTTCTTTTTCTTTCAATCCTTCTAGCTTGTATTCACTCTTCAACTTCAGCTCATGTGATGTTACTTCTAAGAAGTCTTTTCCAATTACCCCTCTCCCCTCAGTCTAGCTTCTCTCTTACATGCTCCCAAGGTACCCTACATTCCCCTTAATAACACTTAACATGCTAAAGTTTTTGTTCAATGTCAGGTTTGCCTAAGAAAGGAGGTAGTGATGAGGGAAAGATAGTGATAGTAAAAATCTTATTTTCTTAAAAGATAGAAACAGAATTCCTTGGGGCGCCTGGGTGGCTTAGTCGGTTAAGCGTCCCACTTTCACTTAGGTCATGATCTCGCGGTTCGTGGGCTCGAGCCCCGCGTCGGGCTCTGTGCTGACTGCCAGCTCAGAGCCTGGAGCCTGTTTCAGTCTGTGACTCCCTCTCTCTCTGACCCTCCCCTGCTTACGTTGTCTCTCTCTGTCTCTTCTAGAAATAAAAAAGAAAAAAGAAAAAAAAAGAAACAGAATTCCTCTGGAATGGAAGAATTTGTTCAGAAAAACAACATGGCTGTTATGTTTGGAAGGAAGAGGGAAGCCCAAAACCCGATACAGCTGGAACCAGGGCAAAGGAGCAGTTGGAGAGCTGGAGAGAGAGCCTAAAATAGTCATTAGAAAATAGAATCTAGCAATACTTTAAATGGAATGCAAAGAAGGTTTAATATCAGGAAACACATTCATACAATTTAATGTACTATAAAGCCATGGGGGCACATAATCTGATAATCCCTTTAGCTATTGAAAGGTAATTTGATAAAATTCAACATCTAATAATTGGTTATTTTTTTAGCATATTAAAATTTACCATCTGAACCTCAGCATCTTGTTTAACGAGAATATTGAAGTATTTCCACAAAAGTTAGGAATAAAACAAGGAGGCCAACTGTCATTTTGATTATTTGACATTTTCTGGATACCGGCCATGATAAAAGTGAACAAAATTGGAAGTTAAAAAAAATCCAAGAGGAAGAGGTAAAATGATAATTTTGGGCCCCATAAAGAACTCCAAATCAATATCAAAATGATTTACAACAGAATTCAAACATGTGCAACAAATATATAAGACAGTTGTCAATAAAGGAAATGACAGCTCTTACACTTGTGAAAATTTTTCATCCACATTCATATTGAGTAATTCATATGAAAATCATACTAAGGGGCCCTGGGTGGCTCAGTCAGTTGAGCATCCAATTCTTGATTTTGGCTCAGGTCATGATCTTAGGGTCATGGGATCAAGCCCCACATCAGGCTCTGTGCTGGGTGAGGAGCTTGCTTAAGATCGTCTCTGTCAATGGGAACCCTCTTGTACTGTTGATGGGAATGCATACTGGTGCAGCCACTCTGGAAAACAGTTACTACTTGAAGTTAAAAACAGAACATGGGGCGCCTGGGTGGCTTAGTCGGTTAAGCGTCCAACTTTCGCTTAGGTCATGATCTCGCGGTTCGTGGGTTCGAGCCCCGCGTCGGGCTCTGTGCTGACTGCCAGCTCAGAGCCTGGAGCCTGTTTTCAGAGTCTGTGACTCCCTCTCTCTCTGACCCTCCCCTGCTCACGCTGTCTCTCTTTCACTCTCCTAGAAATAAATAAAACATTAAAAAAAGTTTAGTCATTAAAATTTTGAAAAATTTTTTGAATATTTATTTATTTATTTTTTTTTATTTTCCAAACATGTTTTATTTATAGATTGGTAAGTTCTTAGAAAAGATGATTTAATAATTGATTCCTTCTTTGTTTTGAACAAATATGGTATTTTGTGCCTTTCTTTTAGGCATAGTAACTAGTACTGAAACATTCAAGACTGCAGTACTGTATGAGAACAAAGGACTATTCTTGGGGAAAAAAATAATACAGTCCACTATTATTCAGGTACCATGGCAGGTCCAAGTTCGTATAGAGGGCACAGTAAAGGGAAAGGCCTGAATACTATTCCGCCTTTGACTCTCCCAGAAGCAGCAAGGGCACATCAGCATTCAGCAATATTGGAGGGGAAATGGGGAAAAGCAAGACATTGCTGTTGAATATTTATTTTTGAGTGAAAGAGAGACTCTGTGTGTGTGTGTGTGTGTGTGTGCGCGCGCGCGCGCACATGCAGGGGAGAGGCAGAGAGAGAGTCACAGAATGTGGAGCAGACTCCAGGCTCTGAGCTGTCAGCACAGAGCACAATGCAGGGCTCGAACCCATGGACCACAAGATCCTGACTTGTGCTGAAACGAGACACTTAACCAACTGAGTCATCCAGTCACCCCTAGTCATTAATTTTTATACTATGAGATTGACCCTTCTTAAAACTTTGGGCATCAGTTCGAACCAGTACCTTGGCAGCAAGCCTTGTGTTATGTTAAGCTAACAATTCTTCACACTTTTCAGGCACAAGCCCCTAAATCTAACCTCTTTTTTTTTTTTTTAATTTATTTATTTATTTATTTTTTTTTACAAATAGTTTATTGTCAAATTAGTTTCTACATAACACTCAGTGCTCATCCCCAAAGTGCCCTCCTTCATGCCCATCCCCCCCTCCCCCCCACATCCATCAGTCCTCAGTTTTTGTCAGCATTCAAGAGTCTCTCATGGTTTGCCTCTCTCCCTTTCCCCCACCATTTCCGCCCTTCTTCTCCCCCTTGGTCCTCCGTCAAGTTCCTCCTAATCCTCCTATACGTACCCCAATGTTCATAGCAGCACTCTCCACAATAGCTAAAACATGGAAAGAGCCTAAGTGTCCATCAACAGACGAATGGATCAAGAAGATGTGGTTTATCTATACGATGGAATACTACATGGCAATGAGAAACAATGAAATCTGGCCACGTGTAGCAACATGGATGGACCTTGAGGGTGTTATGCTGAGCGAAATAAGTCAGGCAGAGAAGGACAAATATCTAACCTCTTAAAAGATCCAAATTGGGAGTTTTTGTTTGTTTTTTGTATTGTGTCTTTCCTTTGTTTTCCTTTGCACTCAATACTTCCATGAAACTTTGGAAGTCAGCAACAAACCTCATGTATGGATTGTTCCACACTCCCCACACCCACCCCTGCCTTTGCTAGTTCACCTTACACACTCTCACTGCACTTCTTTATGTGTGTGCTGAGGATGCCTCAGATCTGCTGTCTCAACAACTTTCAAGTGTACAATCCAGAATTATAACTACAGTCAACAGGCTGTACGTTGGGGCTCCAGAACTTAATCATCTTATAACTGAAGCTTTTTACCTTTTGGCTAGTATCTCCCCATCTCCCCATGAGATCATGACCTGAGCCAAAACCAAGAGCTGGAGACTTAACTGACTGAGTCACCCAGGTGCCCCTTAAGTGTTTATTAATTTATAAAATTTTTATATGTAAGTGCTATACTGAATTTTATATATGATTTAGAAAATTGATGGACTTTGGGTTTGATATATTATATTTGCATTATATTTGTTTTACGTATAAAACAATAGGAAATAGGTCTCTGTTACTGTTTTGACACAGAATATTTTATTTTTAGGAATAGATTACTGATATTAAGCAAGAGTTACCCATATTGCATTGTTCTTTAGCACACTTAAGGACCTGTGTAATAAAGGATCTGGAAGAAAACAAAGCAAAGTAATAATAGTGTGTGTGTCAAGGTAGTGATGTTCACCCAAATCCCATGGCTCCATTGCATTTCCCAGCCTCTATTATAGTGAGCCCAGGGCCCTGAGACTATTCCTCATCAGTGGGTTGGGAGAGAAAGTCACATGTGGTCACTTCACATCTGAGATGACAGCAATGTAAATTCCATATTCTCTCCCCTTGCTGTGATGACTGTCACATAAATAAGGAGAAAGAACATTTGAATGATTTCAACTTTAACTCTTTGGTTTGTTCTTGCTGAATGTCCACACTCCCGATTATCATTGCCGATACTGTTAGATAATTGATCTCAAGAAGTATGTCCCCTGAAATTACAGAACTGGTTAGGAAAGAAAAGCCAGGATGCCAGGGAAGCCATGAGTGAGTTATTTCAAAATGCTTTAAGAGCTAATGACTGTTAACTTCCGGTCTGACTCAGGAAGTGGGCTTCTGTCAGGTTCCTGCAAACTTCTCCTTCTGCATAGCGCCTTCTTAGAGGTGCCCTCCTCCCAAGCTCTTGTCCTCCCCAATCGACACTTGCCTTTAGAACAGTCGCTGACACCGGACAGAAAGAAGCTTAACTTCTGTAGGGGGCGGGGCTTCGCATTTGGGTAAACTTGAAACAGAGAGGACTCAGCTCTGCAGAGAAGGGATCAAATCTGCCAGAGGCGTGCCTGCCTTTCTTTCCTGTCCAGCTGAAATCATTCGAACACTGGTTTTCCACTACTGGCAAGAAAACACGGTCCACCCCATAGCAAGTAACTACTGATTACATATTTCCCATTTTAATTGTTTATTGTACGCATGCGGCATAAATGAGGATGTCAGACACAGGCACATGGTGGGGCTCTTTTGCAGCAGGGAAGCTCTGTGGAGATTGAGGAAAGGAAGAAGATAGTCAGGGCTTTTGTTTTCTTTTGTCTTTCTCTTCGAGCTGAGCTGGCAAGTCACTGGTTTTTAACGGGGAGTCATCTGGGTTTTTTGACAGTAAATCAGGTAAGCTCACATTCATGAAAAGTTCCTCAGTGTTGATTTCTAATTCCCAGGCTATGCTTGAAAAAATATTTTTTAAGAACAATGTTTTCCTATTTTAAGAGAAACAATTTAGAGTGACTGCTTTTCCCTGAAGTACAACCAGTTTACAGGAAACGTAAACTTCATATAGTTTAGTTTACATATTACTGGCAAACAGAGCTTCCTTAGCAAGAAGCCAGTGAAAAGAATTTGGGCATTCCCATGTGCTCATGAGTTTTCTGTGCCTTGTCGCTTTGGTATACGTTGCGAGATTTAAGCAAGATAGAAAAGCTATCTGATGAAAACAAAGCGATGCATAGGAAAAGGGATAGGCCCCAAGTCTTCTTCATGCTGTTGAGGAAAGAAGAAAATTCAAGTAATTGATAAAATGAATGAAATGTATTTCAGGCTTCAAGGATAGTGTACTTATTTCATAGAGTCTCTTGCAAGGACTCCAAAGGTAGAGGGGTGGGGTTGGAGAGAGAGGAGAGGTAGGAGAGGAGGGAGGAAGGAGGGGAAAGAAGGAGAGAAGGAAGGAGAAGACTGAACTTCACATCTGGGGACGGCAGATTTAGAGAGGAAGGTGAGAGAGAGAAAGGGTGAGGCCAAAGAGAGCAGGAGAGGCAGGAGGCCTCAGGAGGAGGGAGGAAGTAGAGAGGAGGTGAGTGTGGAGACCAGGAGCAGGTAGGGCTTACAAAAAACCCCCACTTCTTCTCAACTCACCGGGTGACTTTGGGCAAGTGACTCTATTTCTCTGTAAAACAGTGTAATTCTCTCCCCCATCAGCTGTGTGTAAACAAACGAGCCATGGGTGTGACAGTGCTCTAGGAATACAAGGGTTTTTCATGATGCAGGACTAATAAACTGTGTGTGTGTGTGTGTGTGTGTGTGTGTGTGTGTGTAATATTGGTCTCTGGCCTCTCTGTCCCTCAGGAACAACAATGGACCAACAGGAATGCAGTCACTTTGGTAAGAATGTGACTTCTTGTGTGTGTGATTATTTTACCAAATTTTCTGCCTACACCCCAGCCCAGAGAGGTCAGAGGAGACATCTCTGGCCTTGGAACAGAGTCAGATTACTTAACCCACCTGGAGACAGAACTCACAGTCTTGGTTACACATCTCTGATCTTCAGAAAATGTGTACTTTAGACAGCCAGCACTGGGTGATTTGGGTAAGCCTTGCATGACAAGGTATGTTTCTTTTTTTTCTTTAATGTTTATTCATTTTTGAGAGAAAGACAGAGTGTGAGCGGGGGAGGGGCAGAAAGAGAGGAAGACACAGAATCCGAAGCAGGCTTTAGGCTCTGAGCTGTCAGTACAGAGCCCAATGTGGGGCTCAAACTCACAGACTGCAAGATCATGTCCTGAGCCAAAGTCGGACACTTAACCAACTGAACCACCCAGGTGCCCCTCCCCTCAAGATATGTTTCTAAATCCATCTCACCCCCCCGAGTATGTTTTTCTAGGATCCAACGTGGCAGTTCTAGAGAAAATGAGATGTTTTATAAATCATTGTTTATTTTATTTGATAATGGAGTTAGCTTCTGTTTTTATAAATATAATGTATTGGAAGACTCCCTTTGCCCATAATATGGGGATATCCTCTATTGTTAAAAATATTCTATTGGCATAAGCAGTATATTATAACACAGTAAACTTGCTCTTACAGGACCATGTATGAAGAACCAACGTACCAGAGGATCAGAGCTGAGAATCATTCTGGTGGGCAAAACAGGAACCGGCAAAAGTGCTACAGGGAACAGCATCCTCAGGACGCAAGCATTTGAGTCACGGCTGGGTGCCCAGCCCATCACTAAGACTTGCAGTGAACATCAGGGAAGCTGGGAAGGGAGGGAGATGGTCATTATTGACACACCAGATATGTTTTCTGGGGAGGACCACTCCGATTTCCTGTACAAAGAGGTGCGGAGATGCTACTTACTCTCTGCACCAGGACCCCATGTGCTGCTCCTGGTGACTCAGCTGGGCCGATTCACTGCCCAGGACCAGCAGGCTGTGCAGAGGGTGAAGGAGATCTTTGGAGAAGATGCCATGAGACACACAATTGTCCTCTTCACCCACAAGGAAGACCTGGAGGGAGAATCCGTGGTGGATTACATCCATGACACAGATAACAAAGCCCTGTGCAAGCTGGTGGCAGCATGTGGGGGCAGAGTGTGTGCCTTTAACAACCGTGCTACAGGGAGTGATCGGGATGACCAAGTGAGGGAGCTAATGGACCTGATTGAGGACCTGGTGTTGGAGAAAAGGGGTGACCATTACACCAATGGGCTCTACAGCCTAGTAACAATGTCAGAATGTGGACCTGTGTGGTCAGAGGAGAGGTTCAAAGATTTCAAAAGAGATCTTGTAAAGTACATGGAAATCCAGAGACGTTACTCAACCAAAGCAAAAGGCCTGAAACAAGTTCTAATCAAAACACTCATCTTTATTTTATTTTGTATCTCTTTGTTCGCCCAATTCCTAATTCTGTTATTGTATCCATTGTACAGAATGTGCAACTTGTCTTACCACTTTCTCGTTGGAATGTGCAGTTTGTTCTGTAGATTGCTGTTCATTATAGCCGAAATATTGGTGATAATTTTGAGAAAGATCACTGGGCTGGAATGCATGACCCCTAGAGTATAGTTACTGTTCAGCAATTATTTACTTACTGCCATATGCAGGGTGAATCCAAGTGCCTCCTCTGTAAAATGCAGTGCCTGACATCAGTAAATGTTTGAGATTCTGTGAAGTGTTTAAATCTTAACATCACTTGGGACACCTGGATGGCTCAGTCGATTAAGTGTCCAACTTCGGCTCAGGTCATGATCTCATGGCTCATGGGTTCAAGCCCTGTTGGGCTCTGTGCTGACAGCTCAGAGCCTGGAGTCTGCTTCAATTTCTGTGTCTCCCTCTCTGCCTCTCCCCTGCTCACACTCTGTCTCTCTCTCCTTCAAAGATAAACATTAAAATTTTTAAAAATCTTAACATCACTCTATTAATGAACCAAGTTATTTTAAAAGTTACTATTTGTTTTGAAATATACTATGAAAACCTTTTTATTTTTTATTTTTTTTAAATTACAAATTAGTCTTTATTTAAATTAAAATATAGTTAAAACAATCAAAAGAGAAACCAAAAACCCAACTAAATTGGGCAAAGATTTGAACATTTAACCAAAGTATATACCAATGATAAATGATAAATGAGCACATGAAAGAATAAAAATTAAAATGGCAATGAAATATCACTACACAGAGATTAGCAGAAAAAATGGATAGTACAAAGTTCTAGTGACGGTCTAGAGAAAGCAAAATTCTCATATATTGCTAGTAGGAATGCAAAATTGTACAGACACTTTAGAAAATCATCAGTTTCCTCATTTAGTTGAATATACATTTGTCATATACGACCTAGCAACTCATCCCTAGGTATTTAACCCTCAAAACTGAAACATGCTTACACAAAAATTTGCATGCATATATTTATACTAATTTTATTCATAAATTTTATTGTCTGGAAACAACCCAAATGCCTTTTTTTTTTTTTTTTTTTTACAAATAGTTTATTGTCAAGTTGGTTTCCATATAACACCCGGTGCCAAATGCCTTTCTACTTGGTGAATAGATTAATAACTACCTTACATGCAATCAATGGAATACTACTTGGCAATAAACCTTTTTAAAAGCTCTAAACATAACATTCTTCTAATTTGCAAATCTCTAAAGCCAGTTTTATGTTCCTGGAAACCCCTTTACTTCTTCATGATACTATTGTTTCTACTGAATATAATAAAAATAGCAGTAAAATTTCTACTCAATATAATAATATAGCAATAATAAGTGAGCTGTAAAGTTCCTGAGATCATGTGTCTTTAATTCTGTTCTGTAGTTTTATCCTCAGATAGTAAGTGGACACATCACTCTACAATGGAATGAATCCATGTCCAGCAATCACACCCAGACACACTCATACATCAATAGTCTGTTTCATGTGCATGAAATTTGCTTAATGTTGAAAGGGGCTCGGCAATATTTTATCTCTGATCCCCATCACATTTAGCACTAAAATACACAGAAGGACTTATGCTTTAGACAAGGTGGTGGACTGGATATTGAACGGTGTTGTCCTGTTCAGTGCAAATAGAAGCTGCATTTATTAAAACAAAAAGAACTTTTATGATTGATGCGCTCACTAGAAAATAAGGAAAACTCAGGGGCACCTGACTGGCTCAGTCGGTTAAGCAACTGACTTCAGCTCAAATCATGATCTCATGGCTCGTGAGTTCAAGCCCCACATTTGGCTCTGTCCTGACAGCTCAGAGCCTGGAGCCCACTTCAGATTCTCTGTTCCCCTCTCTCTGCCCCTCACCTGCTCATGCTCTGTCTCTCTGTCCTTCAAAATAAACAAACATTTTAAAAATTAGTAAAAAAAAAAAAAAAAGGAAAAACTCCAAGGGTGAAGCAGACAGTATACATAAAAAGAATGTAAAGCAATCTACAAATTCAATGCAATCCCTATCAAAATAACACCAGCACTCTTCACAGAGCTAGAAAAAACAATCCTAAAATTTGTATGGAACCAGAAAAGACTCTGAATAGTCAAAGTAATGTTGAAAAACAAAACCAAAGCTGGAGGCATCACAATTCCAGACTTGAAGCTATATTACAAAGCTGTAATCATCAAGACAATATGTTAATCGCACAAACATAGACACAGATATCAATGGAACAGGATAGAGAACCCAGAAATGGATCCACAAATATATGGCCAACTAATCTCTGACAAAGCAGGAAAGAATATCCAGTAGAAAAAAGACAGTCTCTTCAGCAAATGGTACTGGGAGAACTGGACAGCGAAATGGTGAGGAATGAAACTAGACACTCTCTTTCACCATACACAAAAATAAATTCAAAATGGATGAAAGACCTAACTGTGACCCAGGAAACCATCAAAAGCTACTGGAGAAAATAGGTAGCAACCTGTTTGACCTAGGCAGCAGCTTCTTACTTGACATGTCTTGGGATGCAAGAGAAATAAAAGCAAAAATGAACTCTTGGGACCTTATCAAGAAAAAAAGTTTCTGCATAGCAAAGGAACAATCAACAAAACTAAAAGGCAACAGACAGAATGGGAAAAGATTTTTGCAAATGACATATAAGATAAAGGGTTAGTAACCAAAGTCCATAAAGAACTTACAAATTAAATACCCCCAAACCAAATAATCCAGTGAAGAAATGGACAGAAGACATGCTTAAACACTTTTCCAAAGAAGACATCTTGGCAGCTAACAGACACATGAAAAGATGCCCATCACTCATCATCAGAGAAATACAAATCAAAACCACAGAGAGATACCACCTCACACCTGTCAGAATGGCTAAAATTAACAACACAGGAAACAATGGACATTGGGGAGGATGCGGAGAAAGGAGAACCCTTTTGCACTGTTGGTGGAATACAAACTAGTGTAGCCACTCTGGGAAACAGTATAGAGGTTCTTCAAAAAATTAAAAATAGAACTACCCTATTACCCAAAGGATACAAAAATGCTCATTCAAAGGAGCACATACACCCCAATGTTTATAGCAGTGATATCAACTATAGCCAAACTGTGGAAAGAGCCCAAACGTCCATCAACGGATGATGGATAAAGAAGATGTGGTATATACACACAATGGAATACTACTTGGTGATGAAAAAGAATGAAACCTTGCCATTCACAACAACATGGTTGGAACTAGAGTGTATTATGCTAAGCAAAATAAGTCAGTCAGAGAAAGATTTCATATGATTTCACTCATGTGGAATCTGAGAAACACAACAGATGGTTGTAGAGGAAGGGAAGGAAAAATAAGATAAAAACAGAGGGAGGCAAACCGTAAGAGATTCTTTTTTTTTTTTTAATATTTTTTTTTTATTTATTTCTAGGAGAGAGAGAGGGAGAGACAACGTGAGCAGGGGAGGGTCAGGGAGAGGGAGACACAGACTCTGAAACAGGCTCCAGGCTCTGAGCTGGCAGTCAGCACAGAGCCCGACGCGGGGCTCGAACCCACGAACCGCGAGATCATGGCCTAAGCGAAAGTCAGACACTTAACCGACTAAGCCACCCAGGCGCCCCCAAACCGTAAGAGATTCTTAAATACAGAGAACAAACTGAGGATAGAGGACATGGGTGGGTAGAGGTAGAAGATGGGTTAAATGGGTGATGGGCTTTAAGGGGGGCATTTTTTTGGGTTGAGCACTGCATGTCATATGTCAGAGATGACTCAGCGGGTTGTACTCCTGAAGCCAAGACTACACTGTTTGTTGACTAACTTGAATTAAAAAAATAATAATAATAATGTGGAGCTAAAACGAATCGAGAGCCATTAGGAATAAGCAAACATGGAAGCCAGGGTTGACCCACAGACAAATGGCCATATCAATACTGAGATCAAGAAAGTCAGCCTTACTGCTGGTGGGAATGAAAACTGGTGCAGTCACTCTGGAAAACAGTATGGAGGCTCCTCAAAAAATTAAACTAGAACTACCCTACCTACAACCCAACAATTGCACTACTAGCTATTTATCCAAAATACAGGTGTGCTGTTTCTAAGGGGAACATGCACCCCAATGTTTATAGCAGCACTATCAACAATAGCCAAAATATGGAAAGAACCCAAATGTCCATCTACAGATGAATGGATAAAGAATATGTTATATATATGTATATATATCACATTATATATATACACACACATATATACATATATATACACATATATGTGTGTGTGTATATATATATATATATATATATACATATATATAATGGAGTATTACTCAGCAATCAAAAAGAATGAAATCTTGCCATTTGCAACAACATGGATGGAACTAGAGTGTATTATGCTAAGTGAAATAAGTCACTCAGAGAAAGACAAATATCATATGACTTCACTTCTATGTGAAATTTAAGATACAAAACAGATGAAAACATGGGAAGGGAAGCAAAAATAATATAAAAACAGGGAGGGGGACAAAACATAAGAGACTCACATATGGAGAACAAACTGGGGGTTGCTGGAGGAATTGTGAGGGGGGGATGGGCTAAATGGGCAAGGGGCATTAAGGAGGACACGTGTTGGGATGAGCACTGGGTGTTATACATAGGGGATGAATCGCTGGAATCTACTCCTGAAGTCATTATTGCACTATATGCTAAGATGGGTGTTAATTTTTAAAAATTATGATTTTATGTCCTCACTTTTTATTATTCTACTCAGTTCACTCTTTTCTTTTTCCCTCTTGGATTCTAATTTCATTAGACTGTTTATTATTATTCCATTGATCACAAGTGTCATATTCCTTTGGTTTTTCTTAATATTTTCTTCCCTTTTTGTGCTTCAATCTCAATAATTTCTCTTAAGCCATCTTCAAGTTGGCAGATCCTTTCTTCAATGTCCCATATGCTTGTAGGTCCATCTGTTTAAGTTTTTTTTTTTTAATTTCAGATATTTTATTTTCTAATTTCAGATTTAACTTAATTTTATAGTTTATATTTCTCAAGATCCTTAAATCATTATATTTATTTTTCTATAAACCTTTAATACATTTATAATTGGTATTTTATTTTATTTTATTTTATTTTATTTTATTTTTTTAAATTTTTATTTATTTCTAAGAGAGAGAGACAGACAACGCGAGCAGGGGAGGGTCAGAGAGAGAGAGAGTCACAGACTCCGAAACAGGCTCCAGGCTCTGAGCCCGCAGCCAGCATAGAACCCGACGCGGGGCTCGAACCCACGAACCGCGAGATCATGACCTAAGCAA